TTTTTGAGACACTAATTTCTTATATTCACCCTTAGGAACAAGCATGTGATTGTCTAATGTTATAGTTGTAGAACTTGTGTTATGATTGCCAATACTATGGGATTGATAAACAGTTCGCTTAGTTTGTTTGGTGGTGCTGATTTTCATATGTTTTTCCTCTTTCCATTTTCTTTTATTTACTGGATTTACTACCATATTACTATAACATGAATGACAAAGATATCGTGTTTCATCAGACTCAGCAAGTTTAAATCCATTCTCCACAAGCTTTTTCATAGCAAGGGAAGTAACTTTCCGATAACGAATTGTTTCTTGATTCATCAATAAATTGGGAGGGCAAACACAACATGGCCCAGGATTTTGTGCTCTCTCCATTTGCTAAATAATCTAAATATGAACTAACAAAGGCCAAATAATATGTAAACGATATAAAGGCCAAAAAACAAGATATAGCAGCTAAGGAGGCCAAATAAATGTTGTAAGACCAAGTAAATAACATAACCAAGCAAATGTTATGGTATTGAAACAGATTAACAACCTTTTATTGGATTAACTTTGGCAAATACATATAAAACAAATAAGTGAAGATATTTATGCAAAGAGATTAATTGTACTACGATTTTTATGCAAGATTTCTAAAATTTTAGCAAACGTCTATCATATCTATATAAATTGTAGTCTAAAATATTGGCCAATCACAAAGATCTTCACCTATGCTGGGTTTGGGTCAAAATCCCAACAAACAAAATCCCAACAGGTAATAATCCTGACAAACAAAAATCACGACAATCAAAAAAAGTGTTTATTTGAGCAATCTTGCTATATAATCACCTAAACCCTAACCCTAAATTATGCACTCTCCTAACCCTACCTAGAGGTGCAGTAAAAACTCAAAGCATCAGAACATGCCGTGATGTAACTGAGTTATAACTTATTTCAACTTTTTGTTTTAAATTACGGCATGTCACAACATGCGTTTGTACAGTAACATATCAATATAACCATGCCATATTATATATTGTAATTTAACTTTTCATACGCTGTAACTTAATATAGTTTTATTTTGCACATAATTTTTGCATACATTACTATTGCTAAATAATTTCGCTATATAATTTTGCTATATAATTTCACTATATATATTCACTATATATATGTTCGCTATATATATATTATGTAAATATATAAAGTATATATATGATTAGCTATATATTATATAAAATTTAAACATATTTAATGTTAACCTATTGCTTTTGCTTTAATTATTCTTCAACTTCATTTAATATTCTTGCCACCAGGCTTGCAGGATCATAATCAACTTTTCCT